ACGGCTTTCAGCCTCACCCTGCTTCATTCTACTACGTTAATAAATCATTAGCTCATCCATGAACATGATTTCTGCCCGAGTCCCGTCGGATTGCATCGGCTGTGGAGATGAAGATGACAACTCCCATGATTCAACACTCAGTCACGGCGTCATCAAACTACGCCTTTGCTTCTTTGTTTATTTTGAATACGCGCCCTCTAGCGGCGAAAATTACATATTGTGCCTTTAATGGATTCACATTTTAAATCGTAGTCAGATTCCCCCCCCCCAAATCGTGCGGCTCTAGTGCATGTTGTTCTAAAGAAGAAAATTTTTGTTTTGTGATCTTTAATCAGATTCAATAATATGGTTAATGTTAACCTATAACCGGCATGCATGCATAATGACAGAGAATAAAAATAAGGTTGCGCGATATGGACGATTTAATTAAATAAATATATGCACTGTGTATTGAAGCATTAATTTGCACATTATACTCTTATGATTTAACATTTGGAAATAAAGAAATTAAGACAAAATTAAACTATAAATATTAGTATTGTACAATATTATTATATTATTTTTCTTAAATACTAGATTTTCTAAAGCAAGATATTATAATAGAAATATTTCTTATTTTATTTATTTAATACTAATAATATATTACAACATATTATTTATATTTATTATATATTACAATATTGTTATTATAGTATATCAATATATAACAACACATTTTTTGGTCGAATTTTGCAGTCCTACAAATGTGCATGACAAAACTGGAGCTTTTTTAAATATTTTTTAAATTGCAATCACAAATTTGTCAAAAGTTGAACTGTCGACATTTTTCAAAATTTTCCCCCGAATTTGAATTTTAGTCCCGGCTTGTGGTCCTTTCCTGATGGTGTTCCCTTCTCATCTCTCCTGTCACTTCCTTTCACTGCTTCTAATGTCTTATCATAGTAAATAAAAGCATACATGCCAAAATACTATTTATAGAAATAAAATCAAAAAAGAATAATGAAAAAAGCATTCGATTTTTTTTTTCATGATCCAGTCAAATCCTGAAGGATAAAAAGTACAGACCTCATTTTATTTTCTCATTGAATTTATTTTCTCACTCACAAATGTGTCATATTACAGAAGTAAAATTGAGTATGCCATTTCTCTTTCACAGCTGAGTTCTTTTATTTGACTTTGATTATTTTAATAATTAGCACTAAACAGATACAGATTGTGAGGAAACATTTCTACTAATCTGAGCAAAGCACTTTTTTCTTGCTGTTGCATATTTAAATTAAATTAAATTAAATTTATGCATGTAGCAGACGCTTTTATCCAAAGGGACTTACAGTGCATTCAGGCTATACATTTATATACATATACATGCACTGCAGTTACAAATGCATAAATAATGTTTTGATATATTAAACATAAAACATTGAATAAATTAAATTAATGCATTTAGCAGACGCTTTTATCCAAAGGGACTTACAGTGCATTCAGGCTATAAATTTTTTATCAGTATGCGTGTTCCCTGGGAATTGAACCCACCACCTTTGCGCTACTAACGCAATGCTCTACCACTGAGCCACAGGAACATATTTCCATTTATATTATGCTTGCGTACCATACTTTGCACTTTAAGCACTTCATGGTGCAAACCAAAAGAGGAAGTGAAGCGTGAAGAAAAGGGAAGTAGAAACTCTTGGCTTCCTAAAACTGGATTCGCTGTAAAGAGGAAGCTTGTTTCTGTTCCTTTGTTTTTCAGAGTCTGTGGAGTCTGACCTGACTCTGCACATCAGCAGCGACCCCGACTTCCTCCAAAGCTATGACACTCTACGAACAGACTGCCATCCTCCCGCCCTGCTGCACGCTGAGGGTTTGGCCAAAGAGTCGGACCCTCTGCCCGAGCTGCTATTCCCCTTCACGTGCCGTGTGTGCGGAGCGGTGCTGGAGGACGAGGAGGGCACCTCGGCGCAGATCTGCAGCAGATGCACACTAGACATGTTGTCCAAAAGCTCCCCGAGCAGCCCGGAGAAAGGTGACAAGCTGTACTCGTGCACATCATGTCCGTTCGTCACTCAGTACCCCAACCACCTCGCCCGCCACATGAAGACTCACAGCGGCGAGAAGCCCTACAAGTGCCCGCAGTGCAATTATGCTTCCGCCCACTTCGACAACCTCAAGCGGCACCACCGCGTGCACACGGGCGAGAAGCCATACAAATGCCGCGTGTGCGACTACGCTTGCGGCAACCTGGCCAATCTCAAGCGGCACGAGCGCATCCACTCGGGCGCCAAGCCGTTCCAGTGCAGTGTGTGTAGTTACAGCTGCAACCAGAGCATGAACCTGAAGCGCCACATGCTGCGGCACACCGGCGAGAAGCCCTTTAAGTGCCAGGAGTGCGGCTACACCACGGGCCACTGGGACAATTACAAACGCCACCAGAAGAAGCACGGCCACTCTGCCGAAGGCTGGCTCAAGATGCAGCTGCCGGAGAAAGAGGAAGAGGATGAGGAAGGAGAAATGTAGTGGAAGCTCTCTATGATGTCTAGCTCCAGTTGCCTTATTATTATTATTATTGTTATTATCATCATCAGAGAAATCCATACGGTAAAGGTGCGTCGCGACAGGGTCGGTGTGCGTTTTTTTTTTTTTCACTTGATTGTATTTTGTATTTTGTCCAACTGTTTACAGCAGCTGATTTCAATCCCAGAATCACAGGTTTGCAAGTTAAGATCGTTGTCTTGAACTGAAAGAGCACATTTATGCACCACTGGGTGAATCTCGCAAAAAAAATGTCCAGGCCATATTTCACCCCAAAATTAAAAGGGAAAAAAAACAACAACAAAAACAAACATAAATTACATTTTGAAATTAAGGTATGTTTCTTAGGACCATTAATATTTTTTGCATTGTGAATATATAAAATACTTATTTTATTTTATTTTTTACTACTTTTTTTTTTTAATTAGCCATGTTTCTTAGGACAATAAGATAATTGAAATTGAACATTTTTTTAAACTTTTTTTTTTTCATTTAATTTTGTTTTATTTTTTATTTTACTTTTTAAAAATAGATTTTTCTTTTTTTTTCATTCAATTAGCCATGTTTCTTAGGACAATAAGATAATTGAAATTGAACATTTTTTTAAACTTTTTTTTTTTTCATTTAATTTTGTTTTATTTTTTATTTTACTTTTTAAAAATAGATTTTTCTTTTTTTTTCATTCAGTTTTTCAAAACAAAAATAAATCGCCACAAACAACATGCAAACAAGGACAGATAATCTCAGCAAAAAAAAATGTTATTTAGATTTTTTGACTAATTTTTATAATGTTCTTTTTTGTAGTTACTGTAAAAAAAAAGATTCGATTTTTTACTGTATTTAAATCAGCATAAATTTAAAGGGAACACAACAAATACTACCATTTTTTTGTATTATAATAATGCATTTTTTTTTTTTTTTTGAAAATGAAAATCATGTCACGATGCAAAAAATAAATCCTAAAACCAGACTTAATTTTCTTCTTGCAGCTTACAACCTCTTAATTTTTTATTTATTTATTAAATTTGAGATTGATTATGTTCCTGACATGTTTTGTGAGATTTGCCTCTCTGCTGTCATGGATTCTCGTTGAATTGTTGAATGAAAGAACTGCAATAACACCAACACATGGCCCTGTTCCAGCAGCTCTAGTTATTTCATGAGGGATTTGGTGACACTGAAGACGTCTGGCTGCTACTGTATGTTCACTTATGCACAATGACAGTGATGTTGCCTTGTCTCGGGGAGGTGCTGCTCCTCCTTCCCTCATTTACTGTATCTGAATTTCCTGGTGCCACTGCAAAATGCTGCACTGATCGGGGTCTCGTCCGTCCCCAGCACACTCGAGGTTTTTCCAGGGCATTAGAGGGACACGTATGAGTGAGTCTCACGAAAACTGTTCAGAAATGCTAGCATTATATTTACCCCGAAATGATTATTAAATAAGGGAGTGTTTTGCATGAAGAATATGAGGGTGATTTTTACATATTTTTGCATTGCGACATTATTGCGCATCTATACGATTTTCATTTCTGTAATGCTACAAAGTGGAAAAAAGTAAATAAATTGTTTAGTTAATGTGGAAGTATATGTTGTACTATCCCTTTGTTTTCTTTACTGTATTAGAGTAAAATTATTATTTTTATTGCATTATGGCGTAAATCACCTTGATTGCCTTGAAAATAATGTCACAATGCAAAAAAGTTGTAATGGTCCTAAAATAGGCCTAATTTTCTTTATGCATTTGTTTTTCTTTTATTTTTGGTGTGAAAATGACCCAGATATGTTTTCATGAGATTCACAATTATGTGTGTGTGTCTTTTGTTGGACTTTAAACTATTTCCTTCAGTTTTATTTAGATTAAAGTGTGATGCCTACTGTGAAATTTTCTCTTAGGAAAACTAATCATGAAAACCTGTGAAGGTTTCATTTTCTCACACATTTAGTGGGAAAGATCCTGTTTTGCTTCCCCACCCCCCACTTTAGTTGTGCAGTTCATGAGGAAGAAAGTGAGGACCACATGCTCATATTCTCTTTATAATGAACAGATCACATTCAAAACAAACATTTTGTACACAAGTCACTTTGATGCGTATTGAATATTAAAAGAATAGTTCACCTAAAATAAACATTTGCTGAAGAGTTACTCATCCTCAGGCCATCCCAGATGTAGAGGAGTTTTTTTCTTCATCAGATTTGGAGAAATGTAGCATTGCATCACTTGCTCACCAGTGGATGCTCTGCAGTGAATGGGTGCCGTCAGAATGAGAGTCCAAACAGCTGATAAATACATCACAATAATCCACAGCACTCCAGTTCATCAATTAACATCTTCTGAAGTGAAAAGCTGCGTGTTTGTAAGAAACAAATCCATCAAGACATTTTAACTTCAAACCCTTGTTTCTGTCTAAAATACCAAGTCCTCTATTCATAACAACGCTTTCTCCAGTGAAAAAGTAATCTCACCTGAATCAGGAGAGAAATCTGCACAGATCAAGCACCGTTTACAAGCCAAAACAGCTCTAAACAAATATGTTGGTGGATTTTGATGTGACAGGACAACGGGATGGCAACACATTCTCTCTCCCTACTTGTCACATATTGACGCTCGGTCAGGACACTGTAGCGTCGCTTTTTGACGCTCAAGCTCCTCCGTTGCTTTAAATAAGAAACCTTTGGCGTCAGTATGCAGATACGAAAGGCATTGGAAATTTTATCATCAGGATTAAATTATATTTAGGGTAATAATTTTGCCATTATTGCATATATGTTGGGGTGTGATTTTTCAGTGTAAACAACAATTTTAATCTTTCAATCTTTTTGAGCACTTAACCTAACCCCTACCCCTAACCATTTGTCAATGTAAAACAGGATATAACAGGCAGATACAACTACAGTCACAATGTATTCCGAGGCAAAACGATTGATTTGTGAGAGGAACAGTCGCGATCACCATCCCATCCGCCGTAAAGCTCAGATCCCGTGTGTGCAGTCAGTGCACAAATTCAAAAGTTGCCGCTAGGAGAAGCTGTACGTCACCTTTGGTTGTGAAATGCCATTGACTCTTGTGTGTCTCTCGTGACCGTTCGGGAGTATCTTTTTGAATAAGATCTTTTTCAGCGATTAAAACCTTATGACTTACTCTGTTCTTCGCTTAAAGATATCGCATGGCTTCAGAAGACTTGGAATGCAACACGACTTGTTTGTAATACTTTTATACTGCTTTTCTATGGTCAGTTTTTGCAATAAATACATGTGACTGTACGTTTATTTGCCTGTTACTGTTTTATATTGTTCAGAAGTTGGTGGGGTTAGGCGCTCCAGAATATCTGTGAAAATATACATTTATATAAAATGATTCCTATTTTTACTAATGCATGCACACCATAAAATGTGTCTTGATCTGACGCACAAGGCAAACAACTGAAAGCAATGCAGGAGCCTGAGCGATGACGCCACGGGGTCCTGACCAAGCGTTGGGAGTGAGAATGTTTTGGGGATGGACTTTTTAACTGAAGGAAACGTTATTATGGATTATGGACTAAAATATCTTGATGGATTTATTTTCTTACAAACAGCTTTTCTCTTCACAAGACATTAACTGATGGACTGGAGTGGTGTGGATTACTTGTGGATTATTGTGATGTATTTATCAGCTGTTTGGACTCTCATTCTGACGGCACCCATTCACTGCAGAGCATCCATTGGTGAGCAAGTGATGCAATGCTACATTTCTCCAAATCTGATGAAGAAACAAACTCATCTACATCTTGGATGGCCTGAGGGGGAGTAAACTTCCAGCAAATTTTGATTTTTGGGTGAACTTTTGCTTTAATGGTTATTCCAGCCCGATCTCACGGCTATTGGTACATATTTTACAAGGAGGCTAATTCGTACGAGCTCACTCGTACAAATTCATACGATTTGTGCTAAATCGTACGTATTTTACGAGTTGCACAATTCGTATGAATTTGTACGAATGACCTACACCTAACCCCGCCCCTAAACCTACCCGTCACTGGGATCTAGACAAATCGTACAAAATCGTAGCCTACGAGTGAGGTCGTACGAATTCGTACAATGATCGTACGAATTAGCCACCTCGTAAAATACGTACGAATTGGTCGTTACAGAACTGGCGCAGTCACTCTGAAATACACCGCAAGAGTTCAGTGCAATCAGGGAATGAATGAATTAGATGCATAGCACTGAATCCAATGATATTTGGCTTGCCATATGGTGTAATATGATTATTTATGTACTGTATTTTTGTGGGTTTCTTTAGCTTTCTGATATTTGTACACAAATTGTTGATCTGAAGAAGTGGCCTTTGGTTTCATAATAAAGATGTTTTTAAACTTTTATTAAAAGCAGCTGCGTTGAGCCATTTGTAACAGATGAAAGAATTGGAATTCTGAAGAATAAATATTCTATACAGCATCTAATTACAGTGCACTAATTTCATTAGACAAGCAGTTCTAAGAATGCTGGTATATTGTTTCATTGTATCACTCCATGTGTGTGAGTTTACCTTGAATTTCAATGTGATTCTGCTTTGCCTTCTTTTCTATTTTCCATTTGTGAAGAAAAAGAGTCTCCAAAATTGCTTGTCATATCGTGCCAGTTACACAATCGTAATTTGCCATCTAAAGCTAAATTAATTTTATTATATGTTAAGACATAATTATTCTTTCAAAATAATAACAGGGTTAACTAGCAGTTTTACAGTTTAGTTTAACATTATAAGCTGAAGGTGGATATATTCAATTTTATATATATATAGTAATAGTAATAAAGTATTTTATTACTACTGTATTTTAAATGGAAGCGAAATTATGCATTTTAAGTAAATGTTAGCTATTGATACGGTATGGCAAGTAAAATTCACACATATACAGAAATAATATATAAAGAGAAAAAAATAAAGACAAATGCTATCTTTTATTTCCTTCGTTTTTAATCAATAAATGTGCATTTATTACAATACAGCAAAGTGGATAACAGTATTTTGGTGTATTTGGCTGTTTAACTGTTTAAGCATTTACCATTTCTTTCCTGTAGAGAGCAGAACTGAGCTTTTCCAGAGAGAGACATCACAGAATAACAGACCATTGCACATATTTGAGCATTGATATTGAATATGAAGAATAATGCACGACAACAGTGTTTTTTGTTGTTGTTGTTTTTTGTGGTGCAGGTAACATATCAGTAATGTGATGAGTACAAATTTCTGACTTGGATACAAATCCACTTGTTTTTTTGCTCTCATCATGTTTATTCCTTCTG